CTATCATTCCTACTTTTTTGTCCCTTTTGGTACGTTTCTTTTCTTTTTCCACAACATTTAATGCTGCATGGTGATAGTAATGCAAGTTTTGTGTTTTTTTTTTTTCTCTTCTACCTTTATTTTGTGTCGCCTCCAGCATTTGATGTAGAGAGTTGCTTTACTTGAGGACTCGGTGAATCATTCATCTATATGGTCTGTTGTCAGTATGAACGCATTTTGATTTGCTCTGTCTGTTTCTTCTCTAATATTTATTTCTGTTTTTTAAAAATAATCTTCTTATGGACTAAGAAAAAAATTCATATATTAATATTTATAAAGATTTTTATGTCAATTATTGTTTTTTTTATGAAAAAATATTAAAGTGTTTTTAAAATTTTAGATTAAATTTTTTGTTTAAATTATTATAAATTTTTATTTAAAATTTAATGTACGAGAAAGAAAAAATTGTTTTTTTAATTGTAAAATTTATGAAAAATATATAAAAAAATAAATTAATTACAATATTTTGATTAATTTTTTTTTAAATTTGATATTTTTTAATTTTAATTTATTTTAATAAACCTATTAGCAAAAATTATCGAATTAAAATAATTTTGTTTGTTTTGTCCTGTACGCAGCGTCAGCATCAGCGTAGTGCGGCAACTAACTAGTATCACTCTATGATTTTGCCAGTATTCTCTGCTGAAGTTACAAGGCGATCACTATTTCATACGTCAGAAGTTGCGGTGGGGTTAGACCTGGTGTTGGGTTTGGAGTTAGGTTCGGGTGGGGAGATTTGACTATTCGGAATTGGCGCGATTCGAGTTGAAAGCATTGGTACCCGTCACCTACCATTTAACCAAATACATTCTAATTATTATTTTTTTAAATATAACTAGCAAGGTAAAAAAAAAAATCTTCAAAATACGATACAAACACAAACACAAACACAATCGTTTTGATCATATAAAACGAATTCGCTCATCCGATGAGGTGTCTTGATATAAATATGATGTAATTTTTTTATATTCTATTCTCAATATATGATCAATCTATTTTATATGTTCATTTATCTTGTATAAAAAACGGTAAAACTCAGTTCAATTTAGCTAATATAGCAAAATTTTGATTTAACTATAATCTATTTTGATTTATTTTTAACTAATCAGTTTTCGGAGTTTTAGAAAGAGAATGTTAATCTCTGTTTTTTAATATCTTTATAACTTAATTCATTTATTACTTTTATATTGTTTTTTTTGCTTTTTGAAGAAAAGCATAATTAGATGTGAAATACGTAAGACAAGAAGATTTAATTTGGAAAGAAATGTCTTTCTTTCTTCAGAAAAAAAATAAATAAAATAAAAATGTTCAGCGCAAGTCGAGGAAACGTTAAGGGGGTGTTTGGTGTGAGAATGTTCAGGATCACTTTGAGAAGATTATTACATATTTAATGTGCAATTTTTAATTTTTTTTATTTAAGTAAGTAAATATTTTTAATTAAATATTTATATTAGATTTATATTGACATGATTATTAAATTAACACCTTAGCATACTAATTCATGTAAATATAAATATTTTATTTTATTTTTAATTAAGTATTTTTATTTTTTTTAATTTGAGTTGTATATATTTTTATAATTCCTATTTAAGTATATGTGTTTTTAAAAATTTATCAATTGTTGCTATTAATTTTGAATATAATGAACCTCCACTTTATAATTTTATGTAAATCATATTCTGGCCAAGTTAAATAAGATTAAGAATTAAACAACAAACAATAAAAACAATCTATTTAATTTAAAAAAAATTAAAAATAAAACATGACTTGTTGAAAAAAACAGAAGTCAAATTACTCAATTTCCTCAACTTTCTCATAAACACAACAAATTTCCACCACTAATTTTAAAAGGTCAAAAAAAGAAGAAGCAAATTCATCATACAGCAAATATATATATTACTTGAGTGTTTGCACTTTTTACAAAAATATTAGAGTTTTGATGGAAATTGTTGTGAAAATATAAATATGCGCGCCCGCGCGTGAGACATCAAAGATTTTATTGAGAAATTAGAATATATATATTCATTTGATATTCAACGTAGGTGAAGATATTCAAGTTTAAATTCTATAGAATCAAATCGGTCTTGACCTTGCGGGTCGGATTTAGCTTTTATACGTAGCGGGTGGTTGCAAATATTTCAATCAAATCCATCTTTCATCGATCTTTTTCAATCCCTTCTTTGCTTCTCTCATTCGCTGGAGCGTTGTTTCGATGGTTTCCACCATGTTGCTGTCTCATTAAGTCCACGCGAAGGGATCCACTTCTGACCAAAGTTGCTATGGAAATTTTTAATGACTATGATCTGGGTTTTGCTATTTAACTCCTGTTTTTAATGCATTTCTCATTTTATAACTTGTGTCCTCTCTAGCACGTTGTTGCATTTTTGTTGTGATTTGTTAGGTACATGTCTGTCGGTCTTGTTCTTGGACAAGATCTTGGTGTGACTGGTTTGGTGTTCTTTGTCTTCACCAAAACTGTTGCAAGCGTACATGATGTGTTCGATGATATGCCTAGTTGAACTCTTTAGTCTACTACTACTAGTTTTTTTTTTTTTTTTTGGGTTGAATAGGGCTTTTAATCATGCACCTGACAAGTTGCCTGTGTCCTCTGTTCATGTGGTTTCCAAGTTCCATAAATTGGATTTTTATTTTGTTTAACAAAATGAGTACTCTTATCAAAAAAATTGTTTTTTATTAGAGAAACAACTAATTATAAAAATTGACTTTTGTAGATTTTCTTTTTGTTCTTATCACCATGAGTGCAACCAATTTCAAGGTTTTTCCGGTTGATATTAGGAATTGTTTCCATTTGGACGAAGCATTTTAGTGGAGATTGGAGAAAAAATCACCTGTGATGGCTGTGATGATAATGGTACAAACTGGAGTGCTGATTATTATTGCAAATTGTCTAACTCTTTTAGGATATGTTCGTCTTTTCGTTTAACAAACTCTACCGACAGCACACCACCCCCATTTATACTTCAGTCTTTTTTCTCTTAAGGCATAAATGCTTTCAAAGGCTATTCTTACTGTTATAAAGATTGTAATGACAAAATTATAACAATATAAACTATCTACGTAAGAATGTTAACATAATCAAAATACATGGAGTTTTTTGAAATAAAATTCAAATATTTAGGTAGTAAAATATAAATTTTAAAAAGTGAGTATATAAAGTGCTAATGGGTGTTTAACATACTTTATCCAATTAGATACTTCAGTTTTGGTTTAATAACAAAAAATACCTTTAAATTACAGGATTATAACAATTTAAGATTCATATTATCAATTTAAACCATTTGAATTCAAATTATTATTTTCTAGACAAATGTTATATTTTCTCCATTATCTCTAGTGGTCAAAATATTGACTTTAACTGAATTATGGTTTAATGGTAAAATTTATTCCTAAACTATTGGGGTTATAATAAAATAAAGTATATACTATCAATCTAGGCTATTTAAATCCTAAATTATTAGCTTTTTGACAAATTTTATCATTCTTCATTATTTTTTGACAATAGTTTTAATAATTAACTGAAATGTTTAAAACGCATCGTTTTAACCATTTTCGATTGTTTTTTAAAATTAGAATTAATTTTAAACAAATTAATAATTCAATTCTTTTTTAATTAGATGGATTCATTGCACATCATTAATTATATAACACTAAAAGTAAGATCCATAAAAAAATTTGTCTAAGCTACCTTAAAGTTAATTATTATTAAATATTTTTTTAAATTAATTTTAGTTCTTTAAAAAAAATAATAATTAAATTCTTTTACTAGATGGATCATTTACACATCGTTAATTATCCAACACTAAAAGTCAAATTCATAAACAACAAAATCATCTAAACTTCCTCAAAGCTAATTATTATTAAAAAATATTGAAATTAATTTTAATTCTAAAAAAAAACAAATAGTCAACACTTTGACTATAAAAAATAACAGAGAACGATAAAATTTGCCCCAAAACTAATAGTTTAGGATCTAAATAGCCTAAAAAATTTCAAAATTAATTTTAATACCTAAAAAAAATATTCAATATTTTTTCCTTGATGAATCTATTACACATCATTAATTATCTAACAATAAAAATCAAATTCATAAATAACAAAATCATCCAAACTTTCTTAAAACTAACTATTATTAAAAAAGAAAATTAATTCTAAAAAAAATATCGATCAAACTCTGATTGTTAAAAATAATGGAAAAAGATAATTTTTTCCTCAAAACTAGTAGTTTAGCATTCAAATAGCCTAAATTGATAGTATAAGTCTTATTTTGCTATGATTTTAATAATTTGAGAGTAAATTTTTTCATTAAATTATATTTTAGTTAATAATGAACGATTTGACCATTATAGACAATAGAAGAAAGATAACACTTATCTAAAAAAAATAATAATTTAAGGTCCAAAATAACCCAAATTGATAATATGTGCTTTAAATTGTCATAATAAAATAATTTGAAGGTAATTTTTGCTTTTAAAACCTTTAATTTTTAAAAATAAAATCGTAAACTTGAGTGCATTTTCATAAATTGCCAATGTTAAACTAAATACAATATCACATATTACCAGGAAATTTTATTTTTAACCAAATACAAATATTATATTTCCAACAATTACATCCAAGCAAGACATCTAAGGATCTGCATTCCAAACGCCCCCCTTAATTATTTTTGATATTCCAGGGACCCATCTATAAGTTTTATTTAATTAAAAGGACTCAGTTGTAATTAACACGTTAGAAATTAAGAAAATAGAAAACGGAAAAAACTCCAGTGCGATTTGTATTCTGCCAAGCAGCCATCATAAGCTGACCAAAGCATAAAAAAAGAGAAGAATAAAAATAAAAAAAACCCTAAGAAATCGGCATATATTTTCCAAAACTCGTCGAGCTTTGAAGAAGTTGATTGATTGATTGAAGTTAGTCTAGCTATAGCAGCAGCATCAGTAATGGCGTGTGCTTATCGCCTAATCAATCACTCAAAAAAGGTATTTCTTCTTTTCAGATCTCTTTATTATTGTTTGGTGGATGCTCTTTGATAATAATAGTAATCGTAATTGGATTTCTGGTTTTTTGTATAAATCTCTTGCATGCATCCCCTATTTCTCTTAAATTTCTCGATTTTTGACTTGTGAATTCAGTTTTTATTTTTTGTAATTATTGCGTTGGAAACTGAATTTCGGTTGCGATTTTAGTCATTTCTCGTCATGTTTAATTAATTTTAATTTTCTTTTGTGTTTTCGACAGTTACGAAATGTTTCCAGCTTAATGCCGCATGAGCATGCCAGGTTGGTTCGGTGGTTGTCAAATGATTCTCATCTCTCTGCTGGTAAAAGAGACGGTGTGTAAATAATCTCGAGCCTGAATCGTCCATTTTTCTTCTTTCAGTTTTCATTTCCTGCAAATCATTTAAAATCTGTTTGATGGTTCCGTTCGACTAGGTTCATTTAGTTTATTAATGATAAATATTTGTAGAGTTTGATTCAATTGGAGAGAAAATGCGAAAGGCAGATTGGTTTTTTGAATAGGAAGACAAGTCTTGAGCACGTCTTAAGGTGTGATAAGGTTGGATTCATTTTTTTCAGTTGCAGCAAATGTTTATCAACCACAGTTAAGTCTGGCGTTGTTCCTGGAAGTTTTAATTTCTCCAGGTTATAAAATTTATGAGGGAAACTGGTGAGGAATTTGGCATCAAATGTTCATGTTTATCGTCTTAGATATGTGGGTTGCTGATTTTGAATGCAAATCTTATATCTGCTTATTAAGTGCAGATTGGAATGTGCATGATTTTTATTTGTTCTAAGGCAAGTTCTTTTTTGCCAGATGCTTGGAAAGTTACGGAAAAAAGGAGGTACTCTAGCACTGCTGCTAATAGCACTGTAAGTAGCCATCTATCTCACAATCACATAATTTGCTGCATAATATGGTGATTGGAGGCTTTCTGTTGTACTTTCCACATTTCTTCGCTTGTCTTGGATCCACTATTTCTTCCTACTTTTTTATTTCTTCTTACTCTTAAGTTGCTTTAATTGAAGTTAGTCTCAGTTTGCAAATGGTTACAGATGTCTTTCTTGATATGTAGGTGACTTCATTTGGTGCATCTAAGAAAGATGTTTCTAGGACGATAATGAAAGTGAGAAACCCAATTGCTGGACCACTATTTACAAAGGATTTTTCTTGGTATGTATTGCTTAGATTTGTTCCTCCCTGGTCAAAACTTCTCTGGGTGATTCCAATTATCTGATTCTCTTCTTTTTCCAATATCAGCTCACAGGTACACTGGAAGAGAGGATTTTCATCTGATTCAGGTAGAGTTTGTGTCTATATTTTTATTTCTTTGTTTGAATTGCTGAACTACCTTGATGATCTCCTTTTCATTTTCTGAACTTTTATTCTGGATCACAAATTATATTGGCTGCTTTGTGACTCCAAGCCCAGCTTGAATTGTCAACTATTATGCAAGTGGCATTGGATGACACGATTGAAATTTATTCAGTGCTTACAATCGAGAATCACAGTAGTTTTGCTCGTGTGAAAGTGTGACGTGCTCCCTGTCATTTGGTTTATCTTTTGTTGAAGTTCCTTTTCTTTTACTGCAATGCCAGAGTAGGGGAAAATGGCATGCATGTGGCTCATCTGTACTTTCTTTTGTTTTGGATACTACCTGTTTTTTGAACACTTGTGGAGGGAGTTTGTTATGAGTGGACAATAAAGTTCAGATGTGGAGAAATAGTGGGAAAATTTTGCGGGGAATAAATATGTGGAAGCTGTTATGTCTGTTTATTTAATTTGATTGTGAAAAACATTAATTTATTTAAGAAACAAATGCTCTTATCACCTAGACTTGAACTGGAGATTGTAAAGGAACATGAACAGATTTACTTTTCCTACTTTGTGCTTGAAACTTAAATCCCTCAAAACTTGGTATTCTGAAGTAGGGGTTGGGATGGAAATCGCATTTCTGACTGAGCTTCACTTGGGGTTATTTAATAGTCATCATATGTTTTTACCTTAACTGACTTTAGGATTTCTTTTTGAAATATGTTGCAGGTCTTCCTCCACACCAAGAGATTGGAATGCCTTCGCTCTCACCCACAATGACAGAGGCATGCATCTTTCTCATTTTATAGGAACAACATTATAGGTTTGGTCTGCTAAGTGATTCTTTCTGAAATTTCAGGGTAATATAGTAAGGTGGTTGAAGAAGGAGGGTGAAAAGATGTCTCCTGGTGAAGTACTCTGTGAAGTTGAAACTGTAGGGTCCCTATAAAGTTTGTGTTCAATTCTAGCTGTGTGCTTAATGTGTTGCTTGTCATGGAGCATTGATGCTTTTCCTATACATAATATTTTCAGGATAAAGCAACTGTTGAGATGGAATGCATGGAAGAAGGTTATCTTGCAAAGATATTAAAGGAAGATGGGTCAAAAGAAATTAAAGTTGGCGAGGTACTGACTTCATCTGGCAGTAGGCAAAGTTGTGTGCTTAAATCTTCTTTTTCTATCTCTACTTTTTCTTTTCTTCTCTGTGAAGTATGGTACTTATCTGGCAGTAGGAAATTAGTAGACTGAACACAATTTGGTTGCCTGTTGCTCACCTTTCAGATTCTACAATTTCCTTTTTAAAATAAGACATTTTAGTTTCAGATTTAGGTCTCTGGTGTTGGTAATACTACGTAGTGCCAATAACATTTTCTCTCTCTATATTATATATAGGTAATTGCTATTACTGTCGAAGAAGAGGAAGACATTGCAAAATTTAAGGATTACAGTCCTTCAACATCAGGAAGTGATGCTACTTCTGCTAAAGAGGCATCTGCTCCTACTACTCCTGCGCCACCCAAGAAGGAGGTTGAAACACCTGCTATTTCACCAGAACCAAAGATTTCCAAGCCCAGTGCAGCTCCTGATGGAGATCGTATTTTTGCCAGTCCTCTTGCAAGAAAATTGGCTGAAGATCATAATGTTAGTTATTTGAAGTGATACAACTAGAATTTTTTGTCTAGTGATGGGAAAGGCTTTTATTGATCTTGATCCGCTTTCAGTTGAACACTTAATGATGCACTTTCTTTATAATGAACACAGGTACCCCTCTCAAGCATCAAAGGAACTGGTCCTGATGGCCATATTGTGAAGGCTGATATTGAAGATTACTTGGGTATGATAATTGAACTTTTTATGCTTGACGAGATTGGTCTCATTGGTTGTTTTCTATCTCCATTGATTTGATGTATACATGTATATACCGCTATTTATTGTGTGATGTGAATGGTCTTGGTTTTCCTTTCTTGTTTTGGTGAAAATATACTTGCTTCAGTGAAAATTTTTCCTTTCCATGTTTGATGAAAAATTTCCCCCATTTTGTAGCTTCACGAGGAACAGAAGTTCCGGCAACAAAGCCTGTGACCAAGGACACCTCAGCTCCTGCTTTAGATTATGTAGACATCCCTCATTCTCAAATAAGAAAGGTAATATTTGGAACCATCATTTTTTAGCCTAAAACCATGGGTAAGGGTTAAGTAATGTCGGCAAGCAACATTATTCGCGGGTCTGCTCTTCATTTATTGATAAAACTTCTGCTGAGGCTTGGAAATGCATGCCCAAAATCTTCCTTGTTCCACTGAGCCGATATCCCAACTTTTGGCAGAAAAATTGCAGTTAACCTCTCTGTCTTAATTTTTATCGTGTCTTTTTCACTACCTTCCCCAGCAATTTGGTGCCAGTTTGATGTTTGTAGTACATTAAGCTTGTATGAGATTTCTTAAAAATTTTAGTTTTGTTTCTAGGTCATTTTTTCATGTAAGTCACTCATGATGTCAAATTATCTGATTCTTGTTGATACCCATGTGCAAGGTCTCACGCATACTGTTTTCATTTTGTCTACCACCCATTATGTCATCAAAGCTTGTCTTGAGGAAAATTTTTGCAATCATTTTGACAGGTGACAGCTTCACGCTTATTATTCTCAAAGCAAACCATTCCTCATTATTATTTAACAGTGGATACATGCGTCGACAAACTTATGGGGTAAGTGTTAGTTTCTGCCATCTTTTAAATGCAATTCATCATGATGTTCTGTATTTTTTTAAAAAATAAATTTTGTGCACAGTTTGCGGAGCCATCTCAATTCGTTACAAGAGGCTTCAGGTGGGAAGCGAATATCAGTAAATGATCTTGTAATCAAGGTATACTTCATCATGTGTAGTATAGAATCACTTAGTGCATTGCTTGGAACTACAGTGATCAGATCCCATAAATTTTACATAAAAAATCTATTAGAATCTAGAAGCTGCCCTTTTCTGGTTGGATTAACTCACTTTTGGAAATACAGTGATCAGACCCCAGAAATTTTGTATAAAAAATCTATTAGAATTTAGAGGCTGCCTGTGATACCCAGGGCTACGTGCCGGTCACAGCTTGCTAGTTCGGGTCGTGAGACTGCCCTTCTCTGGTTGGATTAATTCACTTTTGTTTTAGAGTGAGCTCTTTCGACTATATTAGCATGGAGATTGTTAACTGTGGCAAAAGGAAAGTCCTTTAGTACGGTTTTCCTCTTAAAAAGCTCAATTCGCCTTTGACAATGGAATTCTGATACTAAAACTGATGATGGGCTTGGTCCTTGTGGTGGCTGGCCTGTGTATAGGACACAATTTATTAAAACCACTGGCACCCACACTTCACATTGCAGACTATCCTAAAATTCTTCAAGGTGAAAAACAGCACTAATGTTCTCCCCCTTTTGAACTATCACCTTGGCATATGCTGTTAACATTGTAAACTTTAAGATACTAATTGATCGTGCCTGTTATCAAATTTTTGCTGGAGAATGATTTTGTGTCACTGTAATTACAGGCTGCTGCTTTGGCTCTTAGGAAAGTTCCCCAGTGCAATAGTTCATGGACTGATAACTATATCCGTCAGTAAGTAAATGGCTAATATATTTTTAAGATTAATGTTAACTTGTATAAATCACTATTGGTTTGATACCAATAATGCCAGTCAGTTTGGTATGGTCTGTGATACCATATTTAATATGACATCTCTCTTTTACTTCTAATGCAGGTATAATAATGTTAATATCAATGTAGCAGTACAGACAGATAATGGACTATATGTCCCAGTTATTAGGGTGAGTTGTTGTCCAAAGTCATTCCTGTTTTGCAAAAAGTTTATGATTTGGTTCTAGGTGTAGGGCATGTGAAATAAATTTATGCTGTAAAATTTGCAGGATGCAGACAAGAAAGGTCTGTCCAAAATTTCTGACGAGGTGAAGAATTTGGCCCAAAAAGCAAAAGAGAATAGCTTGAAACCAGAAGATTATGAGGTCAGAATTTTGTCTCAGTTTGCTAGTGGATGGTTATCTCACGTGAATTGAATATGTGGATTGTTTATGCATGCTGTGTTTTTCCTTTTGCAGGGAGGCACATTTACTGTTTCCAACTTGGGAGGGCCCTTTGGCATCAAGCAATTTTGTGCGATCATTAATCCTCCTCAATCAGGCATTCTAGCGGTTGGGTCTGGTAAGATGGGCACTTAATTACAATTTCCAGACCAAATTGTAGGCACTTAATTGCAACTTCCATGCCGAATTAATCTTCCCCTTCTGATATTGACTTTATCTCCTTGAGCAGCTGAGAAGAGGGTTGTTCCTGGTTCGGGTCCTGATGATTTCAAATTTGCTTCCTTCATGTCAGTAACACTAAGCTGTGATCATCGTGTTATAGATGGTATGTAGTTCTGTTTACGTCTTTAGTCATACAAACATGTCCATCAGCTTTATTCAACATCATCTTCTGAGTGTTGTGATGATATAACACTGCTGATTCCACCGGCTCTGTTCAGGTGCAGTTGGTGCCGAATGGCTAAAAGCATTCAAAGGTTACATTGAGAATCCTGAGTCAATGTTGCTGTAGATCACTCGGTGGCTGCTTTCATCCTTCTTTTGTTACTCTCTCACTTTTTTTCTGTGATTAACACCTGAGGTACTTGATGTAATCCGATTGTCGTTGCTGAGTTCTCTTTGTTTGGCGATTATGTATCTCCAAGGAAAGTCTCTTTATATTGTTGGCAAAACATCATTTGGTGGAATAAGTGGGGCATTGAGGCTTGAACTGCAAACTCAATTTTGCTGCCTCAGAGGGTAATAACCCCTTTTTTTGTGGGTGTAAGCATAAGTTTTTGCTTCTCTTGTCAAATTTATCATTTACATAGATGAATGATTCAATGATCTTGTTGGTGCTACGCGTGATCCAAACAGTGGATTGACATTTAGCAAACCAGCATGACTAGTTTTCTGTGTTTTGTTTACTTGGGAGCTGGTAACAGTAAAGCTGTTGCCCAGTATTTCCTTTTAGATTCTATCTTATTCATAACAAACATTATAAGCAGAAATACAAATGGCTTTGTATAGCACTTTTTAGCCCATTCAAGGCGGTGAAATGTTTTATGGAATCCAGTTTGACAACGCTTCATTATAATCATCCTCAGAAGAGAAACAGATGGCTTTAGACGAGCTCATTTTAGCATCAAGTGAATTTTGTTTTAGTTTGACAATGAAAACGTATTAATTTTTCCTTAGACTATAATCTTCTACACTTTCAGTTTAGAAATAGTAATTTGCTTCAACCCTAGTCTTGAGGCGAGAATTGCCTTCTGACTTACCTCAGGACGCAAAATAGGGAACAAAAATCGCCAACTTGCAAATCCTATGAAAATGCGTGCTTCTATGTTTTGTCAATCGAAGAGAGCAATCCATAATCCCTTCATTTTGACAAAAAGGCAATCTTGGGGTTTGCGATCCATAATTCCTTTGGTAGAGTTTGTGTCATTCAAGGGAATATTCTCATTTGGTCAATAATTTTTTCATCATGAAATCCCACTAGCGATGGCTAAATGGAGAAATATATTTGTTCTCATTCCAATCACTGGTAGCCAACTTGCTATGCACCCTCACAGTCAAGTGGCCATCATCCATTTCTCATTCCATCCATACGAAAAGTCTTCATTTCTACGGTGGAAGTACGCTCCCTCGCCTCACAAGGGCCGTGTTCAATTGAAGTTCAGTTGCCTCTTCTCCATTTCCTCTTTCTTCGCCATGATGACACGGTAGAAAGACAAGCCCTTCAAAACTCAAGAAGTGTCAAAAAGAACCAACCATAAACCAAGAATCTAAATAAGTGGCAACTACTCGTATTATTCATTGATTTTCATTCCTACATGTGCGTAGTACTGTATTGCGTGTGTGAGAGAGAGGGCAACTTATTTCACATGCTACCTGCTCACATTTTCTACAAAATTCCCGATTGTTTTTTTTTTTTTCATTTCTTATCAGAGACAAATTCCTAGAGAACATCAACATGCAAGAAACCTATTATTAACCTAACATGCATCTACAACGAGATACTGATTCTCATTCACACTTGATGGATAACATGTCAATTATTGAGCACAATCTATGCAAATATCGATATAGCAACTGATCCAGATAAAAGTTGCAACGAATGCTAAAGCAGACTGCTAAAGAGAAGCAGAGTTGCATAGCTATATAATACAAGAATTCTTCAAAGGAAAAACTAATGGCCTCACCAAAACCTTATACCCCTCCCCCCCGGGCAAAAAAAAAAAAAAAAAAAACAAAACCTCCGTGAGAGGATCACCACCTCTACAGTCTGCAGAAAAATTTGATGCAGAAAATAAAGAAAGAAACAACAAGCACATAACAGAATTATCAACATATTGGATGTATAGCTTAATCCTACCTTCCTGACATTCCATCCTATTACAAAATGCAAATCTCATCACCACAAAGCCAAGCAATAAGACCATTCTTATCCAAAATAAAATTCTGTTCATGTCAAAGTCAGGTTGTCACAAATTATTCAATGATTCCAAGCAATGATTTTGCAGATATTACCTGGCCACAATCTTTTTAGGATGAATTACCAGGAGATATTACACAGGAAAGAACAGTTCTGCCGCTCATAGTTTGACGATACTTCCTATTTAGGCACTGTAGCTTGGATTGTGGTAATTTGAATTTTTAACTTATAATTTTGGTACAGTGGAATCCTTGATTCCATCAATAGTAGATTGATGACAAAAAGAAACCACATAATCTATCAGGTCGCTGATATTTAAACAAATGTTGAAGGCATAATTCAATCTTGCAGGGTTTCCCACACAATAAACAAACATAGAAATACATCTGATGCAGGTTGATAGCTTAAATAACAACGAATAGAAAAGAATGAGGTTGTTAAGACATCTAACCAAAACCCAAATCCAGAAATTCAAGCAATTCTTAGCTTCATCCCGACATAGGTGAATCTGGCAAAAATTCAAATACCGACAATCAAATAAAAGAACAAATCTGTCCATATTCCCCATATCCTACAAAAAATGAATCACATTTCTTTCTGAAACGCAATTGTACAATCATCAAAGTCAACAAATTTAGCATATTTAAAAACTTGAATCCAAATTCTCTCCTAGCTAGTGAGAGAAGCTGGAGAGGATTCTCTTATGTCAAATGAGAGATGGCTAGAGCAACAAAAATTTCGAGGTCAGAACATCAAACGAATAGGTAGGACTTGGCCATCACGTCATCATCACTATTTCTAATGCTTCTGTATAAAACTTAAAATGTAATTACCTTCCTAAATCACAAATAAGTGCAAATTACCATTTTGATACAGGAAACAAGAAAAATCATCATCGTTATCTAAATCCACCATTCTATTCGATCCAACAACAGACAATGTGACCAACGAATTGCGAAATATCTAAACAGGGACAACCAAACATTCCATAGATATAAGGAAGTCAGCTTGTTATTCATCATTGAACCGGCTCACAAGTTGCGTCACTGTCATTCTTCAGCATGCTTGTGCTAATAAATTAGCTTGAAGTTTCTTCATTCATTTGATTACAACAAGTCTTTAATCATTATAATCACTAACAGATTCATTATCAAAACTGAAACAATAAAACCTCAAAAATAATATAAAAAAACCCTAAAGCTCTTTTTTTTACCTTCTCTCTCTTCTTCTTGTTTTCTTTTTATAATTTGCTCTCTCTTTCTCTCTCTCTCTCCCCTTCAAATCATTGCATACCTCTTCAGCGCCTGCTTCCCAGCCACCACCGCACCAGCCGCCAATCCACCAAGCGCACCTGCCACTGCAGCTGACCTAACCCCTCTGGCCGCCCTACAAATCGCCCCAGTTCCAAGCCCAGCTGCCACGCTACTCCATACATCGTCCCTATCGGTGACCGCCACGATGCCACTTTCTGTCCCGGCGTAAATCAAACCCACAATTCCGATCCGGTTACCCCAGACCCGACCCGAATGGCCGGAGGAGTTAAGGATCCTGTTGACCTTAAGCTTGATTGTGTCGGTGGGCTCGAAGGATCGGAAGGCGGAGAAGAATCCGGCGGCGCCGCCAGCAACGGAAGCAGCGAGGTATGCGGAACCGGTGTAGAAGGTAAGGTTTTCGCCCCAGGAGCGGCGTTGTCGGAGGGATTCTTCGGCGAAGAGGAATTCCGGCGAGGTGGAAAGGTTGTATAGTTTTTGGGAGGGCATGTGGAGATCCTGATAGGGGTTGTAGAGACGGGTGCCCGGTTGGGGTTGATTCGGATCCGAGTCATTATTTGAGTAAGACATTATTAAAATTTGTATCAAAAGATTGAAGCTTTGAGAAAATTTGGAGAAATAGAGAGAGAGAGTTTGTGTATTTTAAGGAAGGGTTGTTTCTGCTTATTGTGCGATCGTTTTGGAGGAATGTGTAGTCATTTATTTTAGGGATGATTAAACAAAATCCCTATTTATAATGTTTTTCACAATTTAGTCCCTCCAATCTCCAAACTCACAAATCGTTCCCCTACTTTTTATCTTTCATGTCTGAAATGAGAACATGACATTATCACACAATAGACAACAAGAAACTTTACGTTTTTCACATGTAGAAAAATCTAGAAAAATCCCATCACACTTATTTTGGGATCAAAGTTTATGATATTTTTACGAAGTTTAACATAAAAAAAATGTTTTTTTATAGAAAAATCTCATCAATTTTGTACTTCAATTATTTTTTATATCCAATTTTACCTCCAAACTATTTTAATTTCTCAATTAAAACCTTCTCTTAAAATCACTTGACAAAAACAATAAATTCTCTACAAAATAACAACATTGATAACCTGGAGAACTTCGATGCTATTGAATATCCATACCCACAAGTTTTTCTTTTTTTATTTGATAGCGAAGATTGTAGCTAGCATGGCAAAATTTTGCATCGGGCAAGATAATGTACATACAGAAATAATTGTAATCAAGTAATAAACAAAAACTAAATCTTGCTTATAGAATTCAGGATAGATTGTAACGATTTAGTGCCATAGAAGTATATAAAAGGATAGATTGCCTTGACATGCACTTGAATATTATCAGATGGTTGCTAAAGACTGTCTTCCAGCTGAAAAGTGTGTATGTAGACAATGAGTAGTTCAGGTCCAGTCCAATATTGGACATATGGAAGAGAAGCCAGTTACGGTGCAAGAAATCCAACTTTGCTCATGAAAATGACTTCAACCTGTGGATCGGAGCATTAGGATTAGAAGCACAACTTGAAAATGACGACCAGCTGCAACCAAGGAATTTTCCCAAGGCGGCTTTTTCTCTTGCTCGGTCTCCTCTCTGTGGCGGAGCGATTCTAGCTTTCCTGCTGCTGGAAGTGTCGTTAGAGTTGAAGCTGAAGAACTTGGACATGTCCTTGAAACGCCGCTGCCATCCTCTTACATAAATCTACGTTGAATTTTGCATTTCAACGTTAGGATTGTTTCTCAGTCCGTCCTGATTTTGCATGGTAACGAGGTTTACAACTATTTTAGGAAATTTTGGAGCAGTTTTTTCCTTCTTTTTTTCTTTGGTGAAAATATGATGCACCCTTCAACAGGATTATTATGATTCATGCACCCTTCAACAGGATTATTATGATTCTCAAGTCCGTTTGCAACAACATTGAAGAACATTCATTGTTCATTTTTTCTGATCTGCAGCTTTCAAACTGAAAAGGTTTTTCTTTGGCCTTGTATTTACTATTCTGGGGTTGAATCACTTGTTTCCTGACATTTCAATCCCTGTTTCATATTATCGAATGGCCTACTGGAGATTCTATGTGGATTGTGGGCTGTTCTGGATGAAGTATGAGGTAAGAGAAAAAATGAATACTGCCCACAGGATTGTATCTACAATCTGCTTATGCAATTTTAAATCAGTGATTTGAGATAGTAACTAACCTGACTGTTATGACACTTCCCTTTTGAAACTGAACCGTAAGGATGGGGTTGTGGTAAGACTCTGTGATTTTCATCAGTTTCATCAGCCAATACAAGATGTTTTAGCCGGTTCAGCTCTGGCAAAACGACTGATGCGAGATCTGGCCTATCCTTTTTCCTCAGCTCACAGCACTTCAATGCCAGTTTTGCAAGCGATAAGGCCTCTTCTACAAGCCAATCTGTCTGTGTTGGGTCAAGAATATCTGAGAAGGTTCCTTTCTCAATGGCCTGCTCAACCTGGTGGGATAGACCCATGGGATTCTTTGCTGTAATAAGCTGTAAAAGTATTATACCTAATGAATACAAATCTGACTTGACGCCTAACAGTCCTGTCTGCTGATATTCCGGATCAATATAACAAAACGTGCCAGCTGCTTCCGTCAGGCAATATTGGGTAATACTGTCAGCTAAAGCTGGCGGAACAAGCCTGGCCAAACCCACATCCGAAATCTTGCTCACATAATTCCTGTCTAAGAGAATGTTTGCAGGCTTAAGATCGCGATGCACCAAGGGTTCTGGTTTTGTTTCATGAAGGAAAAGAAGGCCGGTGGCGATTTCAGAAGCTATGCTAAAACGTTTTCTCCATGGGATTGGAGGAGTGTTGCCTTTCCTGAAGAGGCAGTCTTCCAAGCTACCCTTTTCCATGTGCTCATACACGAGGCATCCATACTCTGGGCAGGCACCAAGCAGGATAACCATATGTGGATGTCTCATGTTGCTCAAAACCTGAACCTGTGTTGATAATACGGGTGGATAACTTCTTAGAAACAAAAGGTATTACAGGTTACAAGCTAATTTTCATTTTGCTATACTTTCTTATTTCTTCCTTATCACATGCTCACATCTTTGATCTGTGTTTTTGAAGAGGAGAAAGGAACAAAATGCAAGTTTATGAGCTATGTCATTGTGAATTGTTTAGCTTCTGAATTTTGCTGAAAACTTGTGTTTATCCTAGTTTCTGAATTCTAAATGGGTCAAAATCTAAGTTGCAAACAACAAAATCATACATTGTAAGCAGCATGCTACACTAACAAAATAACATACAATACCTCATTATGAAATTGTCTCTGGCCCTGTGACAAGTCTGGTCTCAAAACTTTGATGGCAACAGGAGTGTGATCAAGCGTGGCTTTATAAACAGGTCCATATCCGCCTTCACCAATCTTGTTGGAGCTTTCAAAGTAATTTGTTGCAACTTCTATCTCTTCGATAGTATATTTCCGATATAGCACAATATTTTGTGCCAAAGATTTCATTGCTTTTTTCCTCTCTTCTGCCTCTTGCATGGCCCTCATTTCTGCTTCATGTCTCTTCTGAGCTTCCATTTGTGCTAGCCTCTGTGCCATTTTTGCTGCTTCGATAGCTTTCTTGGCCTTTTGCTTCTCCATCTCTGCCAATGACAATGCAGCCTCCTCAGCCAGCTTTGCTTCATCTAATTTACGTGCTTTCAATGCATGCAAAACCTGAAGCTCGCTTGCCTAGAAACAAACATAGAATAAGCTTAGTCATATACACTAAAAGGATCATAAATCTTGTTTAAGCTATGATATGATATTACCATATGTCTGGCCAAAACAGCTTCTTTGCAAACCGAATTATACATTTCCATAGATTGCTTCAATTCGAGTTTAAGTCTCCTTAATTCCGCTTCCACCTCATTCTGCAACAAGGGGCGACATTTATATCAATAATATTGAGAACACTTGAATGGAATTCTAAAATTTCTGCAACCACTTGTCGACACAGACGATCACCTTTCCCTTATAACTCTTATTTTGATTTTGCACATGCATCTCATAGTGATTTTGGAAATGAAGTGAAATGTCTTTTAGTAGTTGGAAACATAGAAACGGCCGTTATATAATAGTTTCAGGACACCTCGTTACCGGTATTCGACGTTATATAACAACTGCGACCATTATTTTACTACTACGAGAAACTGCAATCGCGACTGTTTTTTCAACCATGTCCACAATTTAAAACTATGGTTTGAAAGAGTCACGATCCTAGTTGAAGAATTGTTACAGTAGCCCTACAGGCGTTTAATAAGAGATACTCACTGTGGTTGGTGAGAAGTCCTTGCAACTTTCTGATGTTATTGAGAATTCCAAATCTTCAGAGGAAATTTCTGTTGACACAAAACTTGGTGGCCCTGAAAATTCACTGAGACGTGATACATAATCTCCATTTAACGCATTCAATGCCGGACCATCCATTGATGTCGTACGAGTCCTGTAGTTGAAGGTACACTCCTCACGTGTTGCCATCGGCATTGGATTACTGTTTTTGTCAAAAGATATTGTATCAAAACATTTACTTTTCCAACTTCCATGATGTAAGTTATAATTTTCCACCAGCAAGAAGCATACCACTTCTAAGTGGAAGGTATATAATGCAATTTGGACAAAGTGCACTCTTATCTACGGAGATTCAATGAGAATGTTCAATATTGGATTAATTAAGTTCAAGCTTACAATTAACCAATTTACTTTCATCATAACCTCAATATGGTAGTCAGATATTCTTCTCTTCAGCAAGTCTCAAGAATGAATGAAAAATATTTTGAAAGCTTTGACTATCAAAGCAGAAGTAATGACATTCAAAGTGGAAAATATTGCTATATAATTTTCCTAAACTTACCTAGACACATCTTCATGTTTTGGGCTATCGTATAGAAGATAAGGTACTGAACCCTGGTGATTTTGTTGCCATGGAGAAGTACCCATATGAGTAAGCATTTGAAGATTCCTGGGAGTTGCAGCATAACTAGGTGGTGTTTCAGGTTGCCAGAGAGTAGCCGCAGGGCTGGTAGGTGTTAGAGGCTGCTCCGGAGGAGTAGCAGCACCGCTAGGTGTTTGAACTTGCCTTGGACTAGAAGCATCACTAGTAGGTGTTTGAGGTTTTCTTGGACTACTAGCAGTACTAGTAGGTGTCTGAGGTAGCCTTGGAATACTAGCAGCAGTAGCAGGTTTCTGAGGTCGACTTCGGGAAGTCTGAATTTTTCCTTTTGATATAACATATACTCCACATGAATGTGGTGCAAGTTTTAGTAAGCTAGATGGAATATCTAGATTCCTAAATTTCCTGCACGAAGAAAATTGCCATGAGTAAATACTGTTAAATTCCCAATTGCACATATGTTTTCTTGTATTTCAATGCTCAACTTTTCTCAGCTTTAAAGCATACATTAGCAATGTGCTGGAATTGCACATAGCTGCAGGAGCTATATATTGCTTTATATTATAACGGTTATCGATATTTTTCAGATGAACATTTGGAGCCAAAAACTACAACAGATTTCCTTTGATTCAATACAATTTTGTGAGCGTCAAAAACTGCATGGATACATAAGCGCGAGTTGTGTGCGTGCATGCGTGCGTGCCTGCGCTTGTGCAGAAAGAGAGGGGCAGACCTTGTTAGAGGATTCCTGCTGGAAGCACCAAGAACAATATTGTCAATGCAATTGTTACCAATATAATCAATAAGTGCTTTTGCAATGTCAATATCATGTATGACTACTTCCTTCGATTCAACCTGAAATCCCAAAAATGTTCAAGGAAATCATCAGATTGGCAGGGTTCATGTGTATAAAAAAAGGATCAAAATAAAGGAGCTAGCAATGCCTTTTCCTGGAGACATGATAATCAAAATTACTCACTCCTTTTCGCTCACAAAATCCACGGTATGGAATGAATATCTCCACCTCCTGCTGAGTTGGTGGGCGACCCTCTTTAGGCGCAGCATCAAAATCCTCTAGGAAGCCAATTAAACTCAAAATCAAACACAATACTGCTTAAGGCAACAGTTTGTAATGACATCCTCAATAATTTTTGTCCCAAGTATATATTTGAATTAATTAACCTTCAAGTGGGATTAATGCAGCATATATGATACCAACAGAAAACTTGAACTGCAAATTAAAAGGTTCAACATTCTTATGTATGCCTTTGTTCGAGCTACAATGCTCTCCAAATTTGAAAAAGAAAAAGAAAAAAAAGCATATGTAGCTCTCAAAGGGATTCAGTTCTGAGGTTGAATTCATGTTTTTGCTTTAACACCAATAATTTCCAATAACATTATGGATGCCAGTTATATGTGATCCTTTCTCATAATTTCATAGGATCATCAATTCCATGGAAAAACACAATAAGAGATGTATCATTTTGTACATGAACATGTGTTGTGTTGATGATGGAATTAATAACGAGAAATTAAGCTACTTACGTGGATTAAAGGTTTTGGTTCGAACATGAACAAGGATGAAATGATGGTTGTTGTGGTTTGAAAAGTTTTCTATAGCCCATTTCACAGCAAGCTGGCTGTTCTTGTCTGCATCAATTGCAATAGCTGTGATTGCATGCTTTTCTTTTGCCTCGGATAAATTTGGCAGGAACAAAGGCATTAGAGAATGCATGGAAAGACAAAAGAAAAGTAAACCACAAAAACCAGACGAGGTAACATTAAAGTTTCATGTCCAAAATTGAGCTGAACCAAAGATCATAATGCTGCGTTGTTATATATATATATATATATGAAAGAAAGAAGAAGAGAAAGAAAGCGATTTAGTTTCCTGGCAAGATTGTTATCTGGTTACGGTATTTCTAACTAAATATAGTAAGAGAAATGAGATTGATGACAGGGAAAACAAAAACATTAGCCAGCAGCCAGCAGCCAGCAGCCAGCTCCTTAGCTAATGTGAGTTGTTAATTGTGCTTGAGATTAATTTTCCAATTTTCTATATGTAACGGAAACTAAATTTAGATACTACACTATGTACGGTTATGGTAATTTGATTATTTCTTAAACGTTTTTAATTCCAAGTAAATGTTTCTAGCTGTTGCTTTTAGTGTAACTCTCTGTGGTTGTTAATTACGTCTATTGTAACTATAACTTGACTGATATTAGTATTCTTATTTTTTTTTCCAGAGATCTTGAGCTCCTTTGTAAAGAAAAAAACAGAAAAAAAATTGGTAATTTGCTCATATGCTTCTAGCGGTTAAAATGATCCCATTTAAACTTGAAGTATCCATTTTGTAAGAAAAAACACAACTGGCCCTTCAAATTCCAAAACTTGCCATCCTTCCCATCTCTGATTTTTTAGGCAAAAGGATTGATTAATTTAATTAAATTCGTTTTTCTGTTAGCTTAAATACGAGTGATTTTAATGGTTTTTTTTTCTTTTCTTTTTTTTTTTTTTTGGTTGGGAGAATGGATGGTACTTGTTTGTGTGCCATTGAGAGATGGAATTTGATCGGCTTATCGTCTTGAAACATCTTTTGCAGGTACAAAGCTTCAAACCCGAGTTGTGGTCTCTGATAAAGATAAATATTGAGATATGATCTATTCAAATTCCCTACACAATCTATTCTAGTTGTTTGATAAATTTAGTTGATGGTGAGAGCTTTAACAGGTAGACATAATGAGTTGCTGAAGATATTGTGATTTGCTGGGTCTTCCAAACACAATCTAAACTGGAAACGAACTTCACCAATTACTAGCTAGGGATGACAAGCTAACTCGCTCCATCATGCCCTGTTTGGGGTGAGGATGAGACGTGAAATTTTACTCTAAACGGGACATGAGGCAAGAATGGGTTTTTTTTTTTTTTTGACAGGGCAAGGATGGGGATGACACTCTCCATCCCATCACGTTTTTTTACCTTTAAAAGAAATAATATGATAGGATCTCATCCTGTTTAGGATAGGGATAAAGAGTAAAATTTCATCCTGAACAGAATACGAGACGAGGATAGATTTTTTTTCAGGAGACGGACGGAAATAAGGATGACAATCCCCGCCCCATTAGGGTTTTTTTCAGGAGACGGACGGAAATAGGGATGACAATCCCCGTCCCATCTCATTGCCATCCCTACTGCTAACAAGCTTGGAAACCTAGTCCTCCCTCCGAAGCAGAACCTACCACTCCCGCTAGGGAGTAATTGGGTATTAAGATCCTTCCTTTATAGTATAGTTTCTTACTTGCTGGCACAGAGCTATCATGTCAAACAGAGACTTGCAAAATGGAACAGATGGGATAATTTTAAAAATAAGGTCAACGAATACACGGCTTGTAATGATTGCCATATTTTAATATCAAGTATTTTGGATCTTGACAATTGACTATACGTGGCACCAAGAGTTGAATGCTGGGAGTTCTGCTTACTCCTGATTGCATTTGCATATCAATAGAAAGAGGACAACCGTGTTGTCCATACCAACCTAGAGGAGAAAAACATTTAAAATGAAGAAATATCAGAACCTTTGAAGGCTTCAAAGTTCAAGCAAACATCAAGATTTTCAAACATCTAATCAAATGGCATCCGGTAACTAGGTGCCATCCTAGATCATCATTTCAACCTCCCCCACACCAAAGCAAAGTTGACTTTCTTGAGATGCAAGTTTCTGAAGAGACACTTGTGACTCGTAACTGAATTCAGACGATAATCATTATAACAACGATGGTAATAGAACAAAAATGGCTCAGCCATGCCCTACCCTTGTTTGCCGTTGGAATAGAGAAGCCACCTTAACCAATGTATTAGCCAGTTAATCAGATAGTTTGGTTGAGCATTAGATCAAGGGATCAAGAGGCCTTGGGTGAAATATCAATAAATGTCAACAAGTCTGAAAGCTGAATCACAGTTTTAAAATTAAGGTCAACAAACCACGTAACTACAAACCACAGGCACAGAATGGAGCCACTTTCAGGAGAACTTTCTTCGGCCATATGTCAAGATTCCATGAACTTGTACCAAACATTCTCGCGAGAAAGAAATCTCAGCAAGGCAGACCAAGACATGACAGCTGAACAGAATAAATCTAAAACTGGAACTCTATGATCACCTTACCCGCAACAACTAAAATGTACATAACCATAAGACTTTGGCACAGTGCGTGTCAAAAACACAGGCAACACGGAATTCAGATACACTAGCTATATAGTACACAGTAGTTTTCTATTATTGTACACACATTAAGCCCACGAGAAAAAGGAATGGACCAAGCTATGTATTAATTAAAGATGTATGTTTCTAATATATAGGTATATAGACTTGAACTAGATGATGGAAGAACCTTGATTAAGATTTGCTCTTGAACTTCCTTTGTGCTTTCAAGTCCACTACAATCACAGAGATATTATCCTTGCTTCCTTTCTGGAGGGCTAGCATTGAAAGGTAATCGGCCGCTGCTTGAGCTGCAGGATCTATACCTTTGCCCCTTTCAAGAAGAGATGAAACCCCATTCTTTTTGTGCCATAGCAGAATCCGTCTTCGAGCCACTTCACAAGCTTCCTCATTTGTAATAACATCCCATAACCCATCACTAGCTAAAATGAGGCATTCATCCTCTCTAGCACGAGGAACAAACATGACCTCTGGATCTGGAATTATACATGGTTTTAAATATCTATCACCTGTGAGATAAAAAAGAACAAGCATGTTCAAGCGAAGCTTGATGATAACTTCCTCATGGATCAATCTTCAAATATTGTTAAATATAAAGCTAAAGTATCATTGGCAAAACAAAATGCCAATAAGCAAATTGTTATTCAATGTTCTAATAAAGGCAAAAAAAATAAATCTAAATTTGATTTGTTTAGTTGTCATTTGGTGGTTTCAGCAGCATCACAATCAAGTTGATAAAGCAAGCTAGTATAAACTTGGACCATAAGATTAAGTAGTAGGACCACAGGAATAAGCAAGCCATCATAATTGTTTCAATTTAAGCAGGATTTACATCCATGCTAAAAGTGTGGTACACCTACCAATGGACCTTGACATAGCCAGAACACCACAAACACGATGTCCATTCCACTGTATCACCTTGCCTCCAGATGCCTCAATCCTGGCATATTCATCTTCTCTGTTTGGCTGGAAATGATAGAAGTAAAAGGAATAAATTTGTTATCTACACAGTTTTTTGTTCTTATTCATGAAAAGAACATGTCTTACTTTATGATCGACTGATAATGCCATCGGTTCTTTTCCACGACAAAGGACTGCTCTTGAATCACCACAGTTTGCAACTATGATGTGGGACGAACAGACCAAGGCAACCACAGCTGTAGATCCAACTGTTTCTGGTGCTACAGGCTCAAACGCAGCAATAGAAGCATTCGCATCACCTTCAATGCTGCCTCTAATGCTGTTTCCTCCAATCTCATCATCAACCTTAAGAAAGCAACCAGTGAAGGCTTTCTCCCATTGCACCTGCTGATCTCCATGGATAATCCCACCATTTGAATAGTTTTTAATGTTTCCAACCTCTTCAGCCAAGGCCAAATGGATTCGATCACGACAATAATTAGCAACCTGCATATGCTCACAAATCCAAAAGCAAGCAATTATTCACCTTATAGAGTACTTCAAAATTAAATAAACGGAATAAGCTTTAAACATGCACAAATTAAAGTCATGAATTCTTCAATCACTCACAGCACAAATGCATGTTGCAGATTGAAGTGTAACAAAGTTTCCAATAATAAATCATTTTGAATAGGTTAAGGATTGAAAATATTAGCTAGGAACGAGTATTAATAATGATGAGATGCTAGGATTCTATATATGCATGATGCATCACTATGTGCAGGAGTCAAATAAATCCCATGTAGATTTGGTTACCCATGCTCAACTAGTAATTTTTCAAAATCCTCCAAAATTCATGGGTCATATGCCTCAATAAATCCCTTGTAGATTTGGAATTACAACATAACCTATATAAGGGAGTCAAATAAACGTCTGGTTTTATAGATGCACCTGTGCGCCCCCATGACCATCATAAACACCAAAAAAATGACTGGTCAGGTGGGTCGGATTTTCGCTGATGCCATCAACAACATGATCACCAATAAGCATCCTGATAGGAACTTTTGCAAATCGAGGAACAGCTGCAACAGAATCTTCCATTTCTGGTCTTCTTCCACATATGGATACAGAACCCCAAAGAGGAACGCAATCAAGCTCAAAAACACTGCGTGGAGGTCCGCCAGTGAGATTCTTCTCACTAGGCAATTTAAGAGGCACCGCTGATGCCTTTATGTCAGATCCATCAGAGATTTCTGCATTTGGGCTCACTGCCTTGATAAGAAGGTTAGCCGTAGGCACCTGCACAAGGTTTGTTGAGTCCACAATAACAGCATTAGCGATAATTTTGGTATTTTCCATTTCAACAGACTTTGGTAAGCTTGTTTCAGATGCTGCATCCAATACCACTAACTTCTCAGTGATGATTCCATTACAGTCTTCCACGACTGACAGCACCTCATCTTCCTCACTTTCCTGGATCACAGCATCACTAACCATGGAACCATTTCCATTCTCGAGCAACATATTAAGTAAAACAGTTCGTCCAATACCACCATCATTTGGAGTTGACAGGGCGGTCAAGTTCAGCTCATTCTTAGCATGACTGCAGCTTCCACCACCCTCAGAAAGAGACAACTCAGACACCACCTTCACAGGATCAGACAGCATGCTTGCAGTCTCTGTTACAAGCTTTAGCCGTGTAATTTCTACATGGGTTGCAATCCCTGAGTTATCGCACATCGAATTGCCTAAACTAAGCGTCATTGCAAGTGCTGGAGACATCTCTTCCATCAATTACTCTTGTCTATATGTTCAATTGAAAGTTACAGCTCAAAATATACCCAACTCTCAGACAGTATACCTATTTTCATCCTCTTCATCTCCTTCCACCTCTGAACATGTGATAAAGCTTGGAACTTCTAACAACGCTTCTTCCATCCAATGAAATCTCAATGACTCATCAATCTTTTTTTCCACAATAATTATATGCAGAAATGAAATTGGTTCAGCCAGATCTGGCGAGAACTAATGGATCTAACTTTCAAACTGTTAGTTATCCTAGAACTCCACAGCTTATCAAATTCTTCACCTTTTTACCAGGATATAAAAATCATATCTCCACGACCAACCCTTACTATCAAAATCAAGGATTCAGACATAAACCCAAGAAATAGAAAGCAAGAATAGTGGTGATGGGTATTAAACAACTAGGAACGAAGTAAAACCACTCCTCCAAATAATCACAAGAATATCCTAAAAAGGTGAGACCTTTTTCTGCATAAAAATTGGGTTTTCCTGGATCTAAGGTAGCCCACTTTAGCTTCTCTTGAATTATGCGTCTCCTCTACTGTTCTTCTTCAATAAAATCAATCTCCTTTATACAGAACAACAGAAAACACATGTAAGGTCTACAGCCCCTCTGTCTAAACAATGAGAAAACGAAAAAGAAATCAAAAGCTGGCAAACAAAGAATGGTAAGGGTGCTGTGCTTACCGGTTGAAAGCTGGAACGATGAAGAGACTTGGAGGAGCCTGAACTAAGCTACGAGATTTCCTTTTTCTCCTCTTTTGTTCCTCTTCTGGAGCAAAGAAACAGAGGATTGGAGAGAGAATATCTGCACTAATGCTTTGCGTTGTTCCTTTTTTTTTTTTTCCAAGTAAATTATTGTTTAGTCTCTAATATTTAAATTGTATAACATCTTGATCCTTTAGTTTTGAAAACATCTCACTTAACTGATCACAACCATTACTTTTCTGTTATCATCCACCTTTCTATTTATATATATTTTAAAATATTTATTTACTCAAAATTTTAAATTATATATATATTTTTAAAATATATCTAATTAAAATCTATTTTGCAAAAGATTATTCAAATCCAATTCTAGAAAAATATGAATAAAAAATATCGATATGACACAATAATTAATAATTTTTTAATCTATATGAATAATAATAAAAAAAATTTTAGAACGGATTTAGTATTTAATAAATCATCAGTTGATTCATTTTCTTTTTTTATTTGATAAATAATATTCTCTTATCAATTATACATTAATCAAGAATAACTTTTTAAAAAATAATCTTAAGAATGCATTCTTGATAACCGTATGATGCATTAACATGAATTCACTAAATTCTTCTACATATTTATCTAAAAATTTGAATTTAAAAAATAAAAAATAGAACAAACCTTTTTAATCACCAATCTTTTGATATTTTAATAGTTTTTTTCTCCCTAAAACTCAAATGTATCCTTAAAAAAAATATATATCTTTGTAACAGAAGGAGACACTTAGATATTTTAAAAGAACAAAATCAACAAAAGAAATCTAAGGGACTAAGTTATAAGTCTTAAAACATAAAGAATTAAGTTGTAATAATGCATTAAAATATAGGTACTAAATAATTATTTACTGAAAAAGAACAAAAACCAATGCAATGCACCTGCACTGCTTTAAGAGACACGTATGCATGTCATTATCTTACATCATTCAAAGAAGGCTGTCTTCGTGTGAGACTGAAAAAGCTGAGGTTAGAGACGGGTAGTCACAGCAGAGGTAAAAGCTTGTGTGTGTCTTTCTATTTTTGACTTTTATACTAATAATTTTTTTTCTATTTTTATTTGTTCTGATATTTTCCTTCAATCAGTAATTTAGCTAAAATGTTGACCTGTATCCAAATCTATTTTTATTTGATTTTTTTTCTTTTTTCTTCCTCTTCTTCCTCCTCTCCCCACCACCATGCATGGTGAAAAACACTGCCTCCTCTTTCTTTCTTTTGCAAACGGCGTTGTTTATTCCTCTTTTAATTTATAAATTATCAGCACCTTCACAAATCACCCGAACGTCTTTTTACACTACAATTTTTGAATTATTGAGAGAAATCTCTCTCCTCTCTCCCTCTGCCTCTGACTCAAAAACAAACTTTTTTTTTTTTTGGGACCTACACTTTCTATATAAGTTTCAAACTTTCATATTTCAAGCCATGTTAAGTGATTGTAATTCTTTACGTACTATTTTTTAAGTCGTGCACGCGAACTCGGATAAAATCACTGAGCGAAGCCGTCTCCATGGAAAAAAAAAAAAAAAAAACTCTGTATTTTCTCAATATTGCACTCCCACGCTAAAACAAGCTTGAAAGGAAATTGTGTTGTTCAAAACGATGCTTTTGATCAGTGAGCAAGAGACAAAGTTAGTGACTTTGGTTAGTGTAATTGGTGCTTTGGGTTTATTTAATGGTCAAAACAAAACAAGGGTATCTCTGATCTCATGGTTTTGTGATCAAATTAATGTGGTTTCAAGCTTGACTCTTTTACTTAGGTTTTATTTAGTTTTTGATGCTAGGGTTACTTCTCAAATAAAACATAAAAATGATGTTGTGTCGTAGAGTGAGACGGCTTCGAGCTTTGTTTTCAAGAATGGGAAGCATAGGAAATGTATTGCTTGCTTTAGGAGAAATGGTGTGAGTTACACTGTGGAGCCATCGTCAGCCATGGTGGAGAGAGAAGGAAGAAGAGAGAGGAAAAAAAAAAAAAAAGGGGAAACAGGGGAAAATTAAACAAAATTAGATTTCGTATATCAACACTTTGGTGATTTTCGATTAAACAAAGAAAGATCTAATCAAAACGAATTTAAAAATAAATAAAAGAGAAAAAAAGTACAAAAAAAAAAAAAAAGTTTTGGTATACATAATATTAGACTCATCTTGAATACAGATATGGATCTGATTTGATAAATATGTAGAACAATAATAAATAATAAAAGTAGATTCAATTTTAGATACAAAGAAAATACAGTAGACGACACAACTAGCATGTGAGAGAGGAGAAACACTATCGTCTTTTAATTTTAAAAACTTATAATATCATCGTATTTATATTGTATTTTATTCCTGTTTTATATTCGTATACGCAATTTATAGATTAAGACTTTTTGAGATTATGATTGGAAAAGTCAATTGGATACGTTGAAATGGATTTTAAAAAAAAAAAAATTGAATGACAGGACGTCTAAATTGAGTTTGTGATTGAATGATCCAAGTAATTGTTATGGTCAAATTCAATTGAATCTACCCAAATTATTTTGTTTGAAAAACAGAGTCTTTCTGTTTCAGAAGAAAAATAAAAAACCTACCAAACTGGCTTGAAAATTGAGTGTTTTGATTTTCCACACTTTGTAGAATCGTTTGGCAACAAAGAGCATGTTATGGGTCCCTTTAAGAGTGCCGTGAAAACATCTTCCATTTTATTAAAGAGTTTATAATTTAATAATATTAATCTTTTATAAGAAATTGTGTATTCAAATTTTAATAAATTAATTCTATTAAAAAATTTATGTTCGTGTGTTAAAAAAAAATTGATTTTGCACGAGGATAAAAGATTGTTTTGGGTTTCGTGAGAGGTGAAAAACCAATAGATTTATTACAAAATTAGTTTTTTTTAAGAAATTTGGATGCGTGAGTTAAAACAAATAATAATTAATCGATTTATTCCAAAATTATTTAGATACTCTCAATAATTTGAGTCATTAGTTTTTTCTAGGTATGTTTCAAACCATTGGATTTGATTATTTGCATGTAACTCCTATTTTTTTCACTTAATTACATTTTACCTTCAAGTTTCAATACATTTATTCAAAATATTTTTTGTTTTTGCAAAACACACAAATAAAATAAAATAAAATAAATTATAATGCTTGTTTGCATAGTCTTAAAAGTGAGAGAATATATATTGTCCTAAGAGTTATTTCGTTGTTATATTGTTGAACATCAATGATCAAGTTATGCTTATCCATACATATTCCTTGTGCCATTTTACTAATTTTTTGGAAACAATATTTTATTCAACACAGCACATGAAACCAAAAACTTCAACATTCTAACTGCAAAAGCCAATTACTATGCCAAACAGTAGAAAATAGGAAAAAATTACTTTGTTAAATTGATTTTCGAACCCAGCCCAGAGAGGCATTTCAGAAGTGCAATCAGATTTTAACATTGGTTGATTCTCTATCTTCTACACTAGCCTGGTCTTAGATTGACAATGCTCAGTCCCAAAGTTATGTAAGTTTATAGATCTTGAAATACTCCTAAATGGTTTTGGCAAAGAGGAGTGTATTTTAATGAAACTAAAGCAACGAACTACAATTTGAGAATTATCACGGGAAGAAGAACTAGTAAATTTATAGAGTTTCATCACAGCAGTCATCAATAGGGAATTTATACAAGATAGTTTCACAAAACAACTGGTAAAACCGTATTAGGTTATCTTCACCTCAACCATAACTAGAATAGATGCTTGATAAGATACAAGGTAGAGAATTTAAAGTCCATAGTCTGAAACTGTTCCTACAACTAAAGTAAAACCATGGCACTTTCTGCCAGCATAAAACCCCAAAATCAATTTGCCTTCAAAAATTTCCATGGTAGAAAATGACAGTAATTTATCGTTTCCGAAACTTCCTCTTCGGCTGTGGAAAATCAAGAGGAACAGGAAGGGTTGCAAAATACTTGTTCTTCTCACGTTCCATCTTGCAACCCAAATTGCGATAATGAGATTTCACAGTAGCAGGATTCATTCTTAGATCATTACTTATATCTGCCGGAAAAGTACGGAAATCATCAGCATATAAAGTGAGAACCAAAACATAACTAACGAGAAGATCAATGTTCTCAACCGAAAGCCTTCTTGTTTCTGGATTAAACATGTCGAAAAATTTCTGCCGTAGAATGCTCGGAAATTTATGGCTCCTAGCGGAGGATGCACCATCCATAGAATGCTGGTCTTTAAACTTTATAAGATGATTGATGTAAGAGAAAATACATGACAGTCTCTTCTTCTCCACCTCATCCTAGTACAGGCACAATAAAAGTATCAGTGCTATACTGTTTCCACCCAAGAAATATAAACACAATAGAACACATCATGATTGACAAAAGGAATACCATTTATCCATGAAGATTTAAAAAATTTCATCCAAATTTCACCAACCTTGTGCGTCTGCAAGATGTCTTGAACAATAAAATGCTATAAAGTGTATGATTCTTGAGACCAAAGCCAATGAAAATGTAAAATCAAGAAAGTGAAATTTTCCAGCTGATTAGCTAGAATGAGGAATCACCAGCCATCTAGCACGCTACTTCCAAAAGGAATATTCCACTACAATCCCATCAAGGATGTGAAAACTTTCAGCTAATTAGCTACAATGCCAATCATCAGCTATCTACCATGCTACTTCCCGAAGGAATATTCCACTACAATCACACATACAAATCAAATTTTGTGAAATTTGATAAAACTTCATCTTTGCTTGTTTAGCATACATCTGGGATTTTGTACATTTAAAATGAATCAGGAACAATGTAACCCCACAAGTTTCTTTTAGTGAAATTATGATTACTGCTTCCAACTCTTCAAATACTAAAGCCTCCTTCACCATTTCGTTACAGGGCAATTTCAAACATTATAAGTCAAAACAAATTAGTCAAGAGTGAATTTCCACCAACATGTTGGCCAAAACATTCTATGGACCATTCAATTACTTTACCTGAATCTCGTGCAATTTCTGGATCCTTTTGCAGACAAAAGTTGGGTAATCATTGTTTGCTAATTCTCCTCCTATTTGCAAAATCTGATAGATATCTTCAAGGAAATCCCACTCTCCGGTGAGGATAATCCCGTCCAAAGGATAAGCCTCCTGTGGTGTATTGGCAGAAGAGTTATAAGGTGGAATATTTCGAGCACTGTGGCCACTGGTGTTTTCAAGAGCGCCCTTGTTTACTGGGACATTTTCAATTTTCCTGCCCAAATCCTTCTGAGAAAGAGGATCATCTCCCTTCCTCAGAGCCTGCATCTTTTTATCCTGCAGGACAGCATAGAATTCAGTGCTATCAGTAAATGATTCCAACAGAACCACATATTTTCCAACTAACAAGATGTTCAGTCAAAATTTGAACTAAAGCATAATTGCAGAAAACTTGTATCATTTGTCCTACCGTAGGATCTCATTTTGCAGAAACACTCTCAAGAAATTAATTAAGGATCTAATTTGGATGTAGTAGCTCAAAACTAATCCTTCTCACCCAAATAAATCAAGAAACAACTAAGGATCTAAAGTGAGCCTTTCAGGATAACATAACACTTAAACGGCTTAAAGATGACAGGTTCCACAAAGGAAATCCCTTTGATAATACAAACATTTAGCATACATTTACATAAATAATTACAATTCCATCTATCTTTTTCAGAAGAAAGAAAATCCTTTGAATATTCCAGATGTAGAAATTATATGCATATTATAATCAATTCTTTTATGCCGCTATGTAACTTACATGTGCAGAAGTTCTAGATCTTTAAAGCCCTTTTTAGGAAAAATCTAACTATGCAATTTGTTCAAGAATTTCTTTTACAACGACCATTACTTTGCTAGAGCATAAAAATTTACCCACAGCATGAGAAGACCTTGCCAGTCAAGTAGCAAAAAAGCAAGATTTATTGTCTCATTACTTACAGATGGTCCAATACAATTCTATTTTGTGTACACCGTCATGATCAATAACATATGCATTATAATAACAATGAAGAACTAATCAAAATATAAGCAACTCATTACCCACAAGTTGAGAGAAATGAGAGGCATTCTTCAAAAACTTAGAGAAAGAGTATACCCGGATTATAGACTTCTTTGGTCCATATTGAACATTAAGCTGCCTTATCTTGGCCGCTCTCTCTTCTGCAGTAATCTCACCATTTTCAAAATTAGCAGGTTCCGTATCAGCAGCAAGCCACCCTTGAACTTTTGGTTCCATTCTAAGTATCTTTTGTCAAATTTAAAGATATGTTAGGGGTTTACAATGATAGAAAATTAAATTTGTGCAAGAAAAATAATAGAGCTAGTTGGTTGCTACAGGAAGGTACATAATTTTCGTTTTATAAAATATATATGGCTTGATTTGTACAATAGGCTTCGCAATTTTACAAGCTTCATTTTCTCAAATTTAACAAGCTCAACCTTGCAGTTCATAAACTCTAAGCTTAAAGTGCATAATTGTTATAAATAGTCAAGTAGAAAACTTGAAAACAATGTTGCATCCGTTTCTAATCGACTCAGTGTCTCTTTCAAGCCATGACCACGGACAAAAGTCTTCAAAAGCCCAACATCCATTGTTGGCAAGAAGCCTGTAGCAACATCAAATCAGTCTACATAAAGAAACTACTGGTTTGGACTTATTGGTAGAATGCCATCGTTCCCTTATGGCACTCAATCTCTACTGAAAAAGAACTAATAGACTCCCCCAGAATGATTCTAATAAAACAATCATACTTAGGTTTTTTATATTTCAGACTTGAACCAAAAATTCAAAAACCTTCAGTGTTTCTTTTCTTTTGTTTGCTTAGTTCTATAGCTAACAGCAATAAGAAATATGATGAATCATCAGCAACGAGTTGCAGACTTGCTCCAAATACTCCCTCACAGCAAGCCTAAAAAACTTCAGAAACTATCATCTTTATATCCTCCTACATCGCTTCATTTCCAGATTAAACAGCGTTTGTAAGCACTTCAATACAAGTACAAGAAAACACAAGATACAGTCTTCAAATTTAGTATTTCTCTTTAAGCTTTGCTTCATAACAATTATAGAATTTCCCAGAAAACAAAGAACTCACCAAAAATTTCAACAGTTGCACACAAATCAAACAAAAAAGGATCATAACATCCAAACTTTTCCTCGGTTAAATAGATTCAATACACCTCATTACGTTCAGTGATAAACAAAAAGGGAGGAAAAACGATATATTTGCCAATAAAACTCCAATATAAAGGTTAAACACTCAAAATATCCATTACTTTCTTCTCTTTATCTACTGATTCTATCAACAACCATGCAGACAACATAGGTAATCGAATCATAATCTGAAATAATACCTTATTTCCAGCAACAGGCATAATCTTCAAAGTCTGAGTCGCCTTGTCAAAAACCCCAAGCGCATAAGTGCACAACTGAGCAGCCATGGCCTCACCTTTATAGCTATTTCCCACAAACTCAACTTTCGATCCTTTCGGGCTCACTACCAGCTCTAGCCTATCAGAACTTCTCCCTTTCTCATTCTTTTCCCCGGAACTATTCTCAACATTGGCCCTCTGTGCATTCCGATAAAGCTTAACACTTGGTGGAACTGCTAGTGGGAGGTTTGGTTCTTGTGCATCGTTGATGTCATTTCTTTTGTGAGGGTTATATCCAGATGGGAAATAGCCCACTATAGGTGCGGTTTTGTCAACCTGGTTGTTGACGACTTCGAGTCTGACATCAATACGAGACTGGCTTGTTTCATCACTGATGGGTTGTTGTCCATTTTGGACGTGGGCTGCGGCGGCAATGTTATCTCTTTCCTTCTGCCTCTTCCTCTTCTTTTTTGATTTCTTGGCTGCTGTTTGTGGTGACTCCGAGATTGATAAATGCGATGAATCCAAATCCATCCCCATAAGAAATTCCTACCAACAAAACACGAAAAAGCTGTTTCAAAAACAATAGAAAAAAAGCAGCAATAAAGCTAATAGACACCCAGAAAAAAAGAAAAATCTCGAACCCTAAACATTTCCTTTACCTGATTTTGGGTTTTCTGAATAATAAATGGGTCTATAGCTTTATTCTTCTTCCAGCTCTCTTTTCCTCGTGCTTGGCTTTCTTCACTTCCTCAAAAAGCATACAGAATACTGTAGAGAGAGGTGGGAGAGATGGAATGCGTAAACCCTAGAACTTGAGGGTTTAGCCCATTTAATGGGCTAATGCTAATGGGCTGAGCTGTGATGCCTTAAGGCCGACGAGTGCTTTCTTTTTAAGGGGAGGTAAAACGAGGCCCAATAGCAAGTGTTTTTATTTGGTTGGCGCTGTATCAAATCTTCCAGTCTAAACCTCCAGTCTTAGGCTTAGCACTGGCTCGCTCGCTCGCTCACCAGCAGAGAATAGCAGCAGTATAGTCTCTTGATCTTCAGTAAAATGGAGGAATTACTAACATATTAAAGCACCCTCCTCTTATTTCTCTTGTGCAAAGTTCACTTCTTTATAGTAAGATTCTCTCTGTCTGTTACCTTTTAAATAAATAAATAATCTTGCTTAGTTTTCTGAAATTGATGCTAAAGTAAGCTTCTTTAACATGCGTTTTCTGATGGATGGGTTTTCATTATTGATTGAAATGGGGATAATTTGTTCATATTGATATCTCCAAGACAAAAAGAAGAGTTTTTTTTCCAATTTGTTACCTTGTTCGTTTGCTGCATGTCTTGATTGCTAAAATAAGCTTCTCAAACTTACTTTTCTTGATGCTAGCAGTTTCGAGAGACTTCCTTTGCTGAAATATGGGGTTTTTTTTTCCTCTTACGTAATTGTCAAGTTCTTGCTCGTTTTGGGGATCTCTGCATGTTTGTTTTAGTAATTCTAGCTAAACTAAATTTCGTTGAGGGTGTTAGCTTTTCCTTATATGTTTGGTGGGTTTGGGATATTTTCGTAGATATAAACTTTGTTGGATGATTTGTAAAGGGGTTATTTGTGTCGTCTGTAGCTTATGTTATAATTTCAGAAACAGTTTGCATCTTCAATTTGTTTTCTAAACGATTATTTTTGTTGGGTGTATTGAAATACTTTGGGATGGACACAATCAAAATTCATAAAAATTGCTACTTGATGTTGGATTTTGATATACTTGGATTGATTCTTAAATTAAGATTGTTGTTAAGCTTGTTGTTTAAGCTTGTTTACATTCTACTTCAAGAAATCTGGTGATTCCATGTTCTTAAATTCTCGTGAACATGGGTGGGACCTAGTATTTGTCATTCTTGCCAAATTTCCCTTTCCTCTTACACATTCACACTTACAGAATCCATGATTGCAGAAATCGATGTTTTGTTTGTTTATGGTTTTGTGATGGATGTGTTTGATTTTAAGGGAGTTGCAAATTTATCACGAATGCATGGCTTATACAATTTAATCGTTTCTCTCATCTTCCTTTCTAGAAATAGCTTTAAAGTATTGCTTGTAAAACTTTGGTAGTTCTATCAATTTATTGTTATAAGGGAATGCACTTTTCATGCAAACCGTTCTATGGCCTTTCATAAGTGTGCAATGATTCTGTAGTTAGATGGGAGCGCAATTATGGGATTTCTGTAACATTTAGCAGAAATGGGTGTCGATGTAGGTGAATATATAAGGTTTACGTTACTTGGAAAATTATGCTCCTTTTTTACAATCCCTAATGCCTCCTTTGAGGATGTTGGCTGTTTCTTAATTCCTAGTTGCTGAATTTTTTTTACCTCAAAAAAGCTATTTGTTTTCATTAAGTTACAACCTTTGTGTTAGGATTTAACTCTCTTTAACTGGAGGTGGGGTCTATTTTTTTCTTCATATGTTACAATTCTTTTAGAATGCTGACAATGAGATAAATATAGGAGCAACCTGATTGATTTAATTACTCTCTATAATCTTCATGTTAGAGGCTTCATTGTATTAATTTCATCAAATTGTTTGTTAATCCTCAATATCCAGAATGTTAACATTGTTTTTAACATCCATTGTATTTCATTTTGGTATGTAGGTCAATCAGAGGAGGCATAAACTGGAGCTGAAACATCAGATCTTCTATTTTATTTCTGCGATAAATGAATAAGGGTACTGTATATATCCGTTCTGACAGCACCATATACTATTTTGGGGCATAGCCCAATTTTTGCTTTTGAGAAAAAAGCTAGCCTTTCTGATAGACTTACTGCAAATCATATAGCTAACCTGTTTGGTGATGGCTTGAAGCTGTATGAGTTAGTTGTGAATCTACATGTTTTGGTCAATATGCATTTGCTTAGTTGTTAGTGCCTGTTAGTTAAAAACTGTTGGTATTTGAGAGGTGAGAATCCTTGGCTGTAAAGAGAGTTTGCAGCTTCTCTATATTCTCAGGCAACTAGGCTTTCTTTTCCAAGGGGATCCCGGATGTGGGAAGTATTTATTTTCCATATCATGTAGCAGGCCACTGAGTTGAGCCAAAAAGAACAGAAACCATTTTTATATAATTATTTTTTCTATTATATACACATATCATGCTTTTCGCAAAATTTTAGAACCATTGTGCAATAGTTCTTTGGCTTGTTGAATGAGTTTTGTTTTTGCAGTCTATAACTTTCTGTATCGTAAAATTATATATATGTCCTGAACTCATCAACTGCATTTTGAACTGGAAAATTCAGCTTCATTTGTAGAACCATTTAGGCTCATCCTGTATTACGAAATAGCTCTTTTGGGTGGTTTGGAATCAATAATTCTTTGGCTTGGCAAATGAGTTTGGCTTTTGCAGTCTAATGTTTTGAATTGGTGAATGAGAAATTCAAGATGCTTAAGACTTGTTATTATTCGTAAGACCTTTCGAAAATTTGTCTTCTGTAGCAAATTTATCTACACAAGTTGCTTGAGGTGTTTAGTTGAACACAGGGCATTCAACTGATGCCATGAACCAGAGAGCAGGTGATTATGTTCCCATTAGAGATGCTGAGGACGTCCAACTAGGAATGTTTGACAAACCCCTTCCTTGCTTTGGCTGTGGAATTGGATGGTTTTCGTGAGTATCGCTTCGCTTCCTCTCACTATAGTGCTTTCGCTCATGGATGTGACCTTTTACTACTGCCTCTTGCTTGGATTTTTGTTCCCACTCCTTTCTCATGGATGTGTCTTTTCTGTGCAGCCTTTTGCTTGGATTTGTGTTCCCACTAATGTGGTACTTCTCAGCAATTCTCTACTTAGGGAAGTACTATAACAAGGATCCAAGAGAGCGATCTGGCCTTGCTGCCTGTGCAATAGCTGTGAGAGTTGAACTTAATTATTAATCTTTTGTTAGCATGGTTTGCCTCACTCTTTTTTGTCATGTCTGCTGATGTAACATCGAATATGATACTTGCCTCTATTATTACCATGCCATTATTAAAAATCCATTGGAAAAAACCTGAAGTTCTGCCTTCTAGCATTAGAATAAAGTCTTGACAGAGCATTCTGATGCCTGTAGGTTACATTGCCATGTAGGTCTGAGTCAGAATGGCTTTTAAAATGCTACTCATTTTTTCATTCCCTTGATGATGTTCTTCTACTGCTTCTTTTACGTATGCTGCTCCACTTAATTGATGAAAGAAACCTTTCCAGCCCAAAAGAGGAGAAATTATTTGGTATACATCTACACCTCACCAATAGACTAGACCAATAAACACGCGTACTCTAATTGCAGTGGTCTTCACCTAATGATGTATGCGTTCCACATGGTTTTTTTTGTGTGTGCCTTGTGTTTTTTGGTCCAGTCTATGGGTCATGAATTAGTAGTCTAGCTAATAATTTCTCCCAAAAGAGGCACAAACTAAGCTTTTCCGGAATGACATAGTTATCTACAGCACAATGAAAAGCAACTGGGTAGTGACGTTGTAATTTTCCTATCACAGTAAGAGCTACTGTTTGATGGGTGACAGTTTCCGTCCTTTGTGCAGAGCACACCTTTTTCAATCACATAATTCCAGTTCTCTCACCACTGAGCTAGACTGTTACTGCAATGTGTTTCATGATAGGTATCAATATAGTTGTCTGGAAACTGAAAGTACCTAATCTAGGGAGAGACCAGAAGTTTCAATGTAACTGTAACATAAATGCTCCCAGAATTATATTGAGTTATCTATTGGACATATTTGCCATGAATTGGTGTGTTTATCTATTTGTTCAGGAAGTAATATTCATGCACGTATCCATGTTTCATTTTGTTTAATATAACTTCCAATCACTATGAACATTGCAGGCTATGATGTTCACAGTAGCTGCGGTGATCACTTTACTCGTTTATTTGTTGTGACTCTTGCCTCTACAATTTCATCTTTGTGGCTGCAGTGTATGTTTCTAAAAGATAAGATGAACCTGATTGTGAGTGGTCAATATTCATGTTCTCTAGTTACAATGAGCACAGGAAAAGAATATCTACCGTGATCAAGCTGTCCAAAATCTTTAGCAGTCACTAATTTCTCCAGTCTTGTACATAATACAAAAATGTTGTATGATGATGGGAAAAAAAACAACAGCACAACTGATAAATACCCATTTAGTTAAAGTATGTAAAGTGATGAAAATTTAGAAGATGAAATTGTTGAAAGATAGTGTTTAGGATCAAAATTACCGAGCAAATGTGTCTGCATGTATGTTATGCTGCCTTGCTTGTATTAGAAAACTGTGACATTTCTCAATATGTTATCCCAGATTTTGCTGGAAGCCGCAGCTAGCTCAAATTGTTCGATTATTTAGGAAATTGACAGTTGAAGGAAAATGACTTTCCTATGAAAATTCCCCATGTTTACTGCGTGCATATTGACTTGCATATTGTAGAAGCTACACATTATGTTATTCTGGATCTTAAAAAGGCACATTGCTTGTTGTTCATGTCAAGTTGATCCATCTCCTCGATGGCAATTGAAATTCTTGACTCTCCAGTACACGAATCTGCTCCATGCTTATTCATCAAGCAGCCAGAACTGCAGTTCATGTCAATGAAAAAAGATTGATTAGGTTATATTAGTTGGATACCCGCTTTACATCTGCAGGCGTACAACCGTTATATATATAGAGTTAACGATTCGTATAGTATAATGTAAGTAAAAAGTTTTATTTTTTATGATTAATATAAATCGAATCTGTATATAGTTAATTTCTAAAGAAACTAATTACACACATACACACAAATATATATAACAAATTTAGAGTAAATAGAATAAATAGAAAAAAAATCACCTAAATTGTAGAAATATATTGAAATTAATATGTTAAAATAAAAACTATAACAAATTTGGTTTTGATAAATTCTTAATAAATATATAAAAAAAAACAAATAAAACTTATGAATTTTTTGAACTCATTATTATTTTAAAAAAAAATGATTCAAACCATTTAAAACATACTTTTAGCTCTCTCTCTCTCTCTCTCTCTCTCTCTCTCTCTCTCTCTCTATATATATATATATATATATATATATATATTAAATAAAAAAATTAATTTAATGAAAAATTTAATAAGAAACAAAGAAAAAAATTTTAAACAATAAGAATAAAATAATTAGATATGTATGTTAACATCAATATCAAAAATATAATTAATATTGGTTCGGGGACATTAAAAAGATTAATAATATATATGTTTTCTTTCGCGGTAAAAGAACTAATTATATATGACTCGCTTAACTTCGTACATCACTTACTCGGAGATCTAGTTATACTATGACAATATGTATATTCTTTTAAGGGTTTTTTTTCGCCTCTTGGTGATCTAATCCTAAAACACATTAAGATTTAAAATAATTAGTCAACTTTTTTTTGTTTTATCATGAGATTGGTGGCCGGACTTTTAAAAATATAAAATAAATTATAGAAAGAAAAAAAAAAAAAAAGAACATGGTCACTCCCGATTAGTATATATCTTAATTTTTTAAAACAAAATGAGTCAAATTAATTTTTTAATCGATTATTATTTTTTAAAAAAAATTAAGTAAAATTATCTAAAAAACACTTTTAGCCTCTCTCCCTCATCAAAATTTACATATGCAATTATGCTACTCTCATTTAAAAATCATAAAAAAAATCAATCATATAAATTATAATAATATATTTTAAAAAATAAAAAAATCAAGTTCTAAAATTTTATTTCAAAATTCATATATTAAAAATTAAATTTATTAACAAATAAAATTAAATTAAATTAAAAAAATTAATTCAATGAGAATTTTAATAGAAAAAAACAATTGAAGAAATAAATTTTAAACAATAAAAATAATATAATCAGATATATATGTTTAAACTAAAATATATATATATTCTATTACCATAAAACTATACGTAAAACTAAAAAAAATAACAATCTTTTTTATGTTTTCACACCTAATTTTATGATAAAAAAATATAAAAATAAATTATTAGAATGAAAAAAAAAGAAGGCAAACACTCGCTTGAGAGTACTTATGCGGACTCGCTTGAGCTCGTTTCTCAAGGCCAACACTATAAAAAAAAAAAAAAGGAAATGTTTCTCTAGGCCAACCTAAAAACAAAACTACGATAAAATGAGCTAGGCTAGTCGCTGGAGTCCCTTTCTTCGAGCCAACACTAAAAAAAATAAATAAATAAAACGCTATAGTAAATGAACGAGAGAAAACCCTAGTTCTTTTAGGTTTTTTAGAATAATTATAATATCCGAAACACATTTCTAGCTCTCTCTTTCTCATCAGAATTTATACATACAACAATGTTATTTTCAGTGAAAAATCATAAAAATAGCCAACCATATAAATTATAATAATATATTTTTTAAAAAATAAAACAATAAGGTTCTAAAATTTTATTTCAAAAGCCATGTATAAAAAAAATCAAATTTATTAACAAATAAAATCATATAAAATTTAAAAATTAATTCGATGAGAATTTTTATAAGAAACAAACAATAGAAGAAATAAATTTTAAATAATAAAAATAATATAATCAAATATATATGTTCAAACTAAAGTTTTAAAAAATATCGTATATATGCTATCACTTGTCAAACTATACGTAAAATAAAAAAATAATGATCTTTTTTTATATTTTCACATTTAATTTCATGATAAAAAATATATAAAAATATTATTTATATAGAAGGGGAACAATTGTCATATGATGTTTAAATAAATCATTTATTAATAAATATTATATTATTATACCAATATATTTAAGATAATATTTAACTACTACAATGTAATATTAATTTAATTATATGGTATAATTATCAAATGTATTATATTACTAAAATACTTATCAATTTTTATATATATATTCAAATTCATAAAATAATATATCAATATATTATTTATATCATAATATAAAATAATAAAAAATTATTATATTGTATAATAAATACAATATTCATAATCAAAATACAAATAACTATTTTATAATAATAATTTGATATTTTTTGTAAAATATAATGATAATATATTATAATTATTAACTATAAATAATTTTATTATTTAAATAAAATATATTTCTAATAAATAAGGGCCTAAATAATATATTTGACCATATAATAATAGTCCTACAAATATAGAAACTAAAAAAAAAAAAATGAGGCCGGACGTTAAAAAAAAAAAAACAAAACAAAAAAGCACTTGCGTAAATACAATATTCACAATCAAAATAGAAATAACTATTTTATAATATTTATTTGATATTTTTTGGTAAAATATAATGATAATGTATTACAATAATTAACTATAAATAATTTTATTATTAAAAAAATATTTATAATAAATAAAGACCAAATAATATATTTTACCATATAATAATAGTCATTCAAATATAGAAACTAAAAAAAAGAGGTCAAACGTTAAAAAAAAAAAAAAACAACAAAACAAAACACAAAACACTACTAATTTTTTTATAAAATATAGTGATAATACATTATAATTATTAACTATAATAATAGTCCTACAAATACTTTAATAGTTGGGAAATAGATAAATTAGTCAACAAATTTTATTATCACAAATGCAATGAAGGTTGCAGAGCCTATTCATTAGAGAATGGAGAACGATGCATGAGTGAAGAAGTTAGTATATATCATTGGATCCGAAAGAATTGATGACCTTAAAAAAGAAAAAAAAAAAGGAAAATGCTACAGTAAATGGAAATGGCTAAAATGACAAAAAAAAATTAGTTTTCAAACCAAATGGACTAATTAATTTATTTCCCAAATAATTTTTTTTCTATTTCTTAAAAGAAAAAATAAAAATAGTAGAATGGTGAAAGAAAGAATAAAAATAGTAAAATGGTAAAAAAGATTAAAAAAATTAGTTTTCAAATTAAAGGGATTAATTAATTTATCTCTCAAAAAATGAGGGATCAAGATGCAAAAAAACATGATTTTGAATGTATAACTATACCTTTACTTCTTTTAATGTAGAAGTACAAGTTCTGCTTTTGGGCTTTTGTAACAAGATTCATGGGCCTTCTCTTCTTGTGAAGGATGTTTTATTCTCCCTTTTGCATGTCTGATGATTTCTCCTCTGATGAACATTTCCTGTCGAAGAAATGTAACAGAGAAAAGGCACAGACAAAGCATTTTCTAAAATCAAATGCAATCCCTTTCTCTGATGGAGCGCATGGTTCATAAAATAAAATAAATTGCATGTGAATTGCACGTGTTCAACTTATGACGAGATGATTTTATATTTTGTAGGTTATTTTTGTTTGACATCTTGATCTTGAATACCTTTTTAATTGTTTTGAAAATTAAATATAGGAAAAGAAATAAGTACCCTAATAAATAAATATTCAAAACCAATGCTATACATTAAAATAATTCAATAAACTTAATCATTTGATATCTAATATTGTCCCTAATATAAGTAGCGTTTTTATCTAATTTTTATTTTTAATTTAAATTTAGGATAAATTATAATAACTCCCTTGGGTATTGTAAAATTATAGAGGCCACCTAGATGGTCGAAGATTTGACAAAAATATCACCGACGTTTAGGAAAGAAAATATTATAGAAACCTCCTTTTATATCTAAAATGTCCTTAATTACTATTTAAACAAGATTGTTAAATTAAAAACTTGAAAAAAAAATAAAGAATATAAAAAAAATGGCACCTGAATTTTTTAGTACATGAACAATATTAATTTCACTGTTTAATTCCCATCAATTTTGTTTTGAGTTTCTTTTTTAATATTCTTTGATTATTTTTATGGTATTTAAATTTTTTAAAAAATATTAATTAAGAGCACTTTGGGTATCATGAAGGGGTTTAGTCATATTTTCAAATTTTGAGATAATTATTGTAG